TTCACAATTTGTCATGTATTTTTTACATTCTGATAATTAGAAAGTTTCTCAGAAATTGGAGATGTAATGTCAAGGTGAAATGAACCCACTTAGAACTGTTCAAGTAAATCTGCTCAAGTGTTTTTCCTATGAACTTCATTGCAACTGAAAATACTTTGAGAATTGACCTATACTGGAATGTTATAACATCATTACATCCAAAACCAACTCGTTATCTCCTCAGTACTCCCATAATATCCCCTGCAAACTCTATCACAGTATTTCTCACACTGTATTCTTATTATTGATTACATGTCTTTCAAAGAATGACCCTTAGGCCTTGTTCCATATATCAGATCAGCATTAGCAGTACAAATACAAAACCATTCAGACCTTCTACACTGATTCTCTACTTCTGATTGTCAGGGTAAGTAGGCAGACTGTGTGCAGGGCAGGTTCCAAGTGGGCTTCCTCAAAATAAGGAGTGGCAAATGATAGGGTATGTTTTCCATTGCTTCTTGAGGCCGAATGGGAGTGTTATGTATGTTAATGAAGACAGTAGAGATCAAGAATGGGGGTCATCCTGTTAGGTAGCAGTCTGGATTAATTTTGAAGACAGAATGCCACGTGTAGCAAATAGGGTGAATCTAAAGGGGTCAAAACCAGATGGACAGTAACTATGAACATGTCCGGGAAACCCTAGGGTTCTCTGCAGATATTGAGGGATGAGAATTGGTCCAGATTCCTTATCCACATCGTTTCCCCAAGTGACAAGAACTTGTTGGCAAAGCCTTGCTCTGTTCTTTGATTGTAAGTTCAGAACCCAGTCATTTTGTCTACAGGATGTGTGGTGCCATAGATGGGCCTTGACAACCCTATTGATGAAGTCCATGTGATTGTTGGTCTGTGGTTGATGGTGCTGAATACGTGAATTTAGACTTGGAGGGCTCCAGAAAAGACGTCAAATTTAAGACAAAAATCATTGTCTCCATTCTGATACTCTATAGTTAGGCAGCTCACTTTTATAAGTAGTGTAGCAGAGCCATAGTGAGAAAGTTAAGACAATTATGCAGTACAGGTTATGAGTTGCTTTATTTTCATGAAGGAATTCATAATGCTTAGTAATATGTAGTCCTGAGAGGGAGTAGGTTCAATATGGAGTCTAAAGTGATGGGTTCCTGGGAACTTTAGGGGATTGGAATGGGGTGTTCCAATGACCTACTGTGGCATAACAAACCACCCCAACCTTAGTGATATGAATGAACAACCACTTTATTATGCTCCTGTGGGTCAGGAATTCAGACAGAGCAGAGCAGGGATGCTTGTCTTAGCTCCATGATGTTTGGGTCCTCATCTGGGAACAGTGAAGTGGCTGAGGGTGACTCAAATGTCTTGGAGGCAGAATCATCTGGAGGTTTCTTCACTGAAACAACTGGTACCTGAGCTAGGATAACTCAAGGGCTATACACAGCTGGATTGTTGACCAGAGTGCTTACAAGTAGCCTCTCCATGTGGCTTGGACTTTCTGAGAGCATAGTGGCCTCAGGGTAGTTCACCTTTTTACATGGTGGCTCAAGAATCCAAGAGAGAATATTCCAGAGAAGAAGGTGGACTCTGTATGGCCTTTTCTGACCTAACATTACTTCTGCTGTATTCCATCTGTTGAAGCAGACACAATCCAATCAGATCCAAGAGGAAGGTACTTAGACCCCACATCTCGATGAAGGGAGAAATTGCAATTTTAAAATGATCACAATGTGTATTGCCTCTTATGATCCTCAGGATCTTTTTGGACCAGGTTCATGTCTCATATAGCTCTGTAGGGTGCAAGGCCTTCTGCGAAATTTGAGGCTACCAGTAGTCAAAGCTCACAGGGGATCTGGTGGACTGTAGGGGTACTTTTGTGATACAAAGGACCTCTGTCCACCAAAACATGTAGGCGTCCATGACAGTTAAGCAGGCCTCTTCTGTATTCTGGACTTCCGTAGCTGGGAGTGCATGATTCTAGACATTCTTCTGGCTCTGCTGGTCATAGATGACTGCTGTCTTTTTTCTATCACACAAATCTGATCCTTTTACTTCCCTGCTTACAATTCTTTAAGGATGTGCTATTACCGCCAAGATAAAGTCTAAAGCCATTAGCATCACATATAGGCCCCTTTATGATCTGGCCCTGATCACTGAAAACTCAAATGTTATGCTATAGCCAAAAATATGAAAGGCAGTATTAATATAATTATTGAGTTCAAATCCCAGCTCGAGTGGGGCTCGTTAATTTCCTAGGGTACAAGGGAGAACCTTTCTTCCTTCAGTTGAGGCCAGTCCACAACAAAAATGGCCTAGTTTCCATTGGTTTCTCTGTTTAGCCAGTAGGGCCCAAGCCTGCAGACGGGTTCTAATTCTGAAGTAAAGCCTCCTCTTTGAGCTTTGGTCCTTTGTACAGATGCCAGCCCATTGGTCCTGACTCCTCTAACCCTCACAATGAATTGTTTCTCAGGGGGGCCTTTTCGGGCAGTCTGTCTGCTCTTGGTCAGGGCTTCCCACTCCAGCAAACACATTTTAATAACTTTCAATCTCAAAACAATGAAGAAGGGATCAAGAGGCCCTTTTCTCCATAGAGACCCCTCTGTCTATATACATTTTTGGATGTCTAACTCTGCCCAGCAGCATCTAAGGTCCACATAGCAATCAATGTGTGGGTCTAAAACAACTTAATCTGTTTATAGCACCTAAGCCCTGGTCTTGATTCAGCCAAAATGTCCTAGAACATGTGAATTCAATTTCAGGGGATTCATGGATCCCTTGAGGCAGGGTTGCTGGATAAAATACAGAAGCCCAGTTAAATTTGAATTTCAGATGAACAATGAATAATTTTTTGGTACAAGTATTTCCCATGAAATATTTGCATGGATAATTATGCATTTTTGTGGGAAGAGGTCCAAGAAAAGATCCATGTTTAAGAACTCTTGATGCAGGATTTGCTGAGGGAACTGATGCACTTGAACGACTCGGAATGGCTGGGTAAAACTATCGCATGAAAGATACTTAAAAAACATTCGGGGGGCCCGCCCGGTGGTGCAGCGGTTAAGTTTACACGTTCCGATTTGGCGCCCCAGGGTTTGCTGATTCGGATCCCGGGTGCGGACATGGCACCACTTGTCAAGCCATGCTGTGGTAGGCATCCCACATATAAAGTAGAGGAATATGGGCATGGATGTTAGCTCAGGGCGTCTTCCTCAGCAAAAAGAGGAGGATTGGCAGTGGATATTAGCTCAGGGCTAATCTTCCTAAAAAAAAAAACAAACATTCATTGTTTATCTGAAATTACAATGTAACTGGGCATTTATATTTATTTACTTAAGTCTGGCAACCCTAGGCCTTAAGGCCAACCACGACTTATAGGTTCATGAATTATAGAGCAAGCACTGGTATAGACTGAGAAGATTACTAAGTGCTGTTGACGCAAATAATCCATAACCAATTTAAAAATCAAAATTGGGGTGAGGTTATTATGAGCCAGATCTGAGGACTAGCTTGGGGCCTTCCTTCCCCTAGGAAGGAAGAGACACCAAAGAAGTGGGGTGTATACAGTGGTTATATACTGTCTAAGAACGTGTATCACATATGATTGGAATCTCCCTTTTACAATAGTCATGAGATTGCCTAGCTGGCACAGTGATTCACACAGAAATTGATGAACACAGCGGATAGCAGGTCTGTGATCTGGGGCAGGTGGTCACAGCAGGTCAGTAATCAATCCACAGCCAAGGGAGAGACGCTTATCCTTAAGGAAATGTCGACATGGGGGAAGTTACATCTTTACCTTAAAGGGCATTGTTCTTGTCTTTGGGACAGTAAATACTTAAAGCAGATACACAATGCATGCTCAATAGCCACATGAGGCCTGCCGGAAAAACAAGCCAGGCTGAATTAGTTTACACCAAATGGCTTCCTCCTATATTCCAACATATGCTATTTCTTGCCACTTATTTACCAGTGTGTTTCTTTCTTTTTACCAAATTATTTAATTCTTTAACATTGAAATACCAGGGTTACCTGGAAGAGTTCCAATTCAATACTTCCAATTCCTTTAGCTCTAAAAGTCAGGATATTATTATCATTATTGTCTTCAGGGTTTACATTGTCAAAGAGTGACTATGAGATTGACAGGGTCATCAATTATGGTCAGTAATTTCCTTGTTAAATTCCTAGAGCAGAAAGATGTTGCATTAAGTTCTTGAAATAGACGTGGAATATTAAGTTACACAAATAGCAAGATGTTCAGGCAGAGGAAGGAAGGGAGCTGAAACAAGCACTCAATTCTTCAACAATCCCCTGAGGCCAGGACTAAAACCCATGGAAGAAAAGGGAAATCTTCATTTCTACCTTACCATTAAGTCCTATCACAGCCACCAGTTGGCCCTTTTTCTCTCACTACTATTTGTAACCCTATAATCAGGCTAATCTTCCTACCAAATTCTTATGGAGCAGGAGTTCTTTTCCTTTTTTGTTTTTTGATGACCTTTTTTGGGGGTAAATTTTGTTTGGAAAAAGAAACACGGTAAAAAGTTCAAACAGTGCAAACGGTTTTACAACGAAAAGCAAGTCTCCCATCCTCACCTCTAGTTCCTGGACCGGAGGTTAACTCGGCTTAGAGATCGGAGCCTCAGAAAGGGTTTCTAGAGTAATGTGAATTCTCTGAATGCACAATTTTCAATGTACTGATAATGGCGCATTTTTGTGAGGAGAGGATCTAAACTTTTACCCGAGCCTCAGAAGTCCCGAGGCAGGATTTGCTGAAGGGACTGATGCGTCCGGACGACGCGGAATGGGCGGGTAACAACCATGAAATAACTTGTTCTAGGGGAAAAACGCTACCCCCATCCACTCAACTCCGGCCCCCTCGGCAAGCACGTCCTCGCAGGGAGGGATGGATAAAACTCCGCTCTGCCCAAGTTTTCCTCCTGCCGCATTCCTTCCCTCCGGCGCGGCGGCGTGCGCTGACGTCATGACGCCGCCCGCGCAGTCCCGCCCCTGCAGAGAGCGGCGCTGGGACGGAACCCGGGCTCTTCTCACCAGGAATGTAAGGCCTTGGCCCGGCCGCGCGCTGCCCCTGCCCTGCTCTTTCCCTGGGCCCGCGGCCGCTGCGGCCGCCCCACAGCTCGCCCTCGGAGGAGCCAGGGCGGCCGTGCCCTTCTGCCGCGTGCCCGCGTGGCTGCCTCCGCCCCTCCGAATCCTCCGGGGCCGCAGAGGAGTTCGCTACGGAGGGAGGCGGGGGCCTTCGGGAGGAGGAGGCGGAGGAGGCGGAGGAGGAGGGAAGGAAGATGGCGGCCGTGGAACTAGAGTGGATCCCAGAGACTCTCTATAACACCGCCATCTCCGCTGTCGTGGACAACTACATCCGCTCCCGCCGAGACATCCGCTCCTTGCCCGAGAACATCCAGTTCGATGTTTACTACAAGGTACGGTCCGTGGGCCTGCTCTGCTCTCCTGCCGAAACCCCTGGGGCCGCACCCCCTTCCACGTCTGCGAAGCCCCGCGGTTAACCCCGCGCTCCTCGCAGCAGGGTCGCCTGCCGAGCCGTCTGCTACGGTCTCGGGGTTGCCAGGACGGAAACACCCCATCTCTATGTCCTCGGGCGCTCAAGCTCCTGGGCCTTGATTGGTATCTTTTCCTAATGAGTCTTCCCCCTTTTGGTGTTCCCTCCTCCACGGTGGTCCTCTTGAGTAGGCCTATTTGCGTGGACTTTGTCTATTGCGCCCCCGTCCCGCTCATTCCTTCTCCTCCACCCGGTGTCTTCGGTGTATTTTCTGCCCTCTTTTCCCAATTAAGTGTCAGCATCAGCTGGACTTTTTGCTCTGCTCCTCCCTTCCCTCTTTCCTACTTTCTTCTCTCGCCGTCTTCCTCCCCAAGTATTTTTTTCTGCTTCGTATTCCTTCGTCTCTCTCTTCTCATCCTAATCGAGAGGGAGTTGAGGAATTACTGGAAACAGTCGTGCCGTGTTCTTGCATGTTCTTTAAAGCTTTGTTTTTATGTATACTTGGGGTTGAATTGGAGAGTGCATTAAAACGGGAGTGGTGACAAACTGTTTGAAAGGAAGGGGGCAGTTCTTTCCCAAAAGAAAAAATACTTCAGAATTTAAATCATGTTCGTGTATTTGAAAGTTGCAATCTTGCAGCATTCCTAAGTCGCTCCCCCTCAAAAATCTGAACAGAAAGTCTCCAAGTCACTCTCCTAGGAGGTTCAAGGGTAAATGGCTTTAGACGTGGACAATTTTTGCAGTGTTCAGAGAGGGAGGAGAACTTTGTGGACTCGGAGCCTCCCTGTTCCTCTCTCCCCCACATTTGAATGTGAACAGTGGATTTATTATTCAGTCCTCTTTCCTTGAATCGGCGTGGATAGCTTCTGTTCTCCAGTGCCACCCATGCACAATTTGACCAGGAGTAGAGTGTGATTGATTTTTTAAATCGTAAATACTTCCTCTTGATTTGTAAATTCCCTGGAACAGTGTAAACTGATATTTAACAGATGTGTATGTTCTTGTCTATGTATGGGGTTTTGTGGCAGTTGTTTTGTTGGGGAGATTGCCCGCTTTCTCCACCCTAGAATATTTTTTCAGAAAGCAGCTGACTTGCTGCATTCTAGTAGATTCAGCTGCTTCACACCAATTCTAACAATTAAAATGTTTTTTCCCCCCTAAATCTTTGGAGAAGATTAATTTTGGTCATTCATGTTATTATTTAGGAGGGCAGGTTTAGAGAAAAACCTCCTTATATTTCTTTTTGATACGTTGATTTACTTTTGGGTATGTCTAGGGAAATTTCGTATATTTAAGATTCATTCCTCCCAATAAGGGTGAGTTAGATTTGTCTTTCTCAACCTGGGAAACTGCAGCTTTGTGTGTGTGCTAACTTTGTTTTATTAAATTGTATGTAATCTTTTACACTTTTTAGAGAACATCATTAGAAGTTTAATCAAAGTGCATTTAGTAGTTGATTTCCCTCAAAACTCTTGGATTTCTTCTAGTAACTTTCACTTCTAATTGAAGCTTTTCATTTGAAGAGGAGTATTAGAGAGTATGAACAGAAGATGCTTTTGCCATGTTTTCTGTTTCACATAGTTCACAAAGTTTTAATAATACTTCTTTTTGGTACGCTTTTATTCCTTAATAGTTGTGTGTCTTGTTGGAAGTATGGCACTGCACTAAGGTGAGGGAAGGTATTCAACATGTGCCTGGAACTGAGTTAAGTGCTTTTACACGTGATCTTGTGTAATCTTCACAAAGTGTAAAGTAGGGTATAACCCTTGTTATAGGTGAGAAAGTTAAGTAATTTAGTCAAGGTCTCATACCTAGTATTTAGTTCCTGCATACCTTGCTTTCTTGCTTGGAAAGATTTTGTCTTGTGAAATAGTAGATTATTTTGATGAAAGACCTTGTAAAACTAATTTTTTTTTTGCTGAGGAAGATTTGCACTGAGCTAACATCTGTTGCCAATCTACCTCTTTTTGCTTGAGGAAGGTTCGCCCTGAGCTAACATCTGTGCCAGTCTTCCTCTATTTTGTATGTGGGTGCCACCACAGCATGGCTGCTGACCAGTGATGTCACCGCACCTGGGAACCGAACCTGGGCTGCCGAAGTGGAGCCTACCAAACTTAACTTCTAGGCCACGGGGCCGGCTGCTGTAGAACTAATTTTTGATTAGCTCTTACAGAAGTAGATAGAGTGAAAGTCAATCCCTGGACTTCAGTCTTGAATCTAATGGAAGTATAAGAAGGAAACTTTGCTTGCTCTTAAACACTGTATCAACACATAAATATAAGATACTTTTTAAGCACTTTAATACTTATGAGATACTCATCCCCTGCCCGCTGCCTGAAAATTTTAAGAGACTTACTGTTTTACGGTTTCCAATTTTATCCAATTTAGAGCCAATGAGAAACTCATAGTCAGATTCCTCCAGTGGTACCAACTTCCATCAGTAGGCATGGTCATAGACGAAATTACTGTATTTGTGGAACCCAGAATTCCTCCACTCCTCTTGATTGGTGAAGTCCAGTGTCACTGTGTTAATTTTTGTCAGTGGCTGCAGTTGAAGGCACAGTTAAAAGCTTTTAAAGATCATGGGATGAATGGGAGGTGAAGAAGTAGGCATGCTAACTGCTCCTTAAGAAGGGAAAGGAGAGAGGTGTTTATGTAGAAAGGGTAAAAATGTGAATAGATTTTTTTTTTTCTTCTCAAAGCCCCCCAGTACATAGTTGTATATTCCACTTGTAAGTCCTTCTACTTGTGGTATGTGGGATGCTCCCTCAACATGGCCTGATGAGTGGTGCTAGGTCCATGCCCAGGATCCGAACTGGTGAAACCCTGGGCCACAGAAGTGGAGCGTGTGAACTTAACCACTTGGCCATGGGGCCAGCCCCTGGATTTTTTTTTTTTTTTAAGGAATGGAAGGCATGAGGGCCGGCCCCGTGGCTGAGTGGTTAAGTTCGTGTGCTCCACTTTGGCGGCCCAGCGTTACGCCACTTCGGATCCAGGGCACAGACATGGCACCGTTCTTTAGGCTGTGCTGAGGTGGCGTCCCACATGCCCACTAGAAGGACCTACAACCAAGAATATACAACTATGTATGGGGGGGCTTTGGGAAGGAAAAAAAATTAAAAAAAAAATCTTTAAGGGGCTGGCCCAGTGGCGCAGTGGTTAAGTGTGCATGTTCCACTTTGGTGGCCTGGGCTTTGCCAGTTCGGATCCTGGGTGCAGATGTGGCACCACTTGGGAAGCCATGCTGTGGTAGGTGTCCCACATATAAAGTAGAGGAAGATGGGCATGGTTGTGAGCTCAGGGCCAGTCCTCCTCAGAGAAAAGAAGAGGGTTGGCAGCAGTTAGCTCATGGCTAATCTTCCTTAAAAAAAGAATGGAAGAATTTAGACAATATTTATTGTCTAAATGGCAGAAACCAGAACAGAGTGAGAGTTTGAGTACATAAATGAGACAATGGGAAATAAATTATGGAGCAGAGTCCCTGAGCAGGAGCATTAATTAATGAGTCCTGCCCCTTCCTTCACAGTACATAAATTAAAGTATCAGTCTTTTTTTTTTTTTTTTTTGAGGAAGATTAGCCCTGAGCTAACATCTGCTGCCAGTCTTCCTCTTTTTGCTGAGGAAGACTAGCCCTGAGCTAACATCTGCTCATCTTCCTCTATTTTGTACGTGGGATGCTTGCCACAGCATGGCTTGACAAGTGGTGCGTAGGTCTGTGCCTGGGATCCGAACCGGTGAACCCTGGGCTGCAGAAGCAGAGCGCGCGAACTTAATTGTTATGCCGCCAGCCAGCCCCAAGTTATCAGTCTTATATTGGAGTTGGAGCAAGAATACTTTTCCTCTAAGATCAGATGGAAAGAGTTAAGAACATAAGCTAATAAAATAGGTAAGTTTACATAAACTAATGACATAGGTAAGTTTACAAAGTATGGTTGTCATGAATAAGGAGGTAAGATCATCTGCTGAGCCGGAGGGATAGGAGTGGTGGCTTTTATGTAGGAAGGCTAACCTGAAGTTGATAACGGCTGCTGAGGTATATGGGATGGGAAGTTCACTGAAAATATGTTAAAAAAAAAATTGACAGTTTATATCGATGGTTTAGTAAAAATCAATACCCTACAGTGGCTGGCCTGGTGGCCTAGTGGTTAAGTTTGGCACACTCCACTTCGGTGGCCTGGGTTTGGTTCCTGGCATTGACGTACACCACTTGTTGGCGGCCATTCTGTGGCAGTGACCCATATACAAAAATAGAGGAAGATTGGCACATGTTAGCTCAGGTTGAATCTTTCTCAGCAAAAAAATAAATAATCAATACCCTACAAAATAATGTCTTTGAATCTCAATAGTTTTTATCCAGGGGTGCTTAACCTTTTAAGTATGGAAGTGGATAGGGTGAGTAGAAGAAATGATAAAATTGTATACCAAGTGAAAGAAAGAGTGAATGGCTGGGTTCTTTTTTTTTTTTTTAAAGATTTTATTCCTTTTTCTCCCCAAAGCCCCCTGGTACATAGTTGTATATTTTTAGCTGTGGGTTCTTCTAGTTGTGGCATGTGGGACACTGCCTCAGCGTGACCTGATCAGCAGTGCCGTGTCCACGCCCAGGATCTGAACTGGCGAAACCCTGGGCTGCCAAGGCAGAGCGGGAGAACTTAACCACTTGGCCACGCGGCCAGCCCTGGCTGGGTTCTTTAAGAATGAAGTTCATGGGGGCTGACCTAGTAGTGTAGTGGTTAAGTTTGCATGCTCTGCTTCAGCTGCTGGGAGTTCGCACGGACCTACACACCGCCTATCAAGCCGTGCTGTGGCACCATCCTACATAGAAAATAGAGGAATATTGGCACAGATGTTAGTGCCAGTCTTCCTCCCCCCCCCCCCCCCAAAAAAAGAGGTTTATGATCTTTTTTATTTTACCTGCTGGATGAT